AAAAAGGGTTCCAGGATCCCCAAATCCCGAAATTCTGTATCCTGGGATTGAATGCCCTGAAGCGAATCAACAGAAGCGTAGGGAATTCGAGAATCAGTATAAAAAAGGCGCTCTCATCGGTATACACGATTTTTTTCGGATGGCGAGACGCTCATTTAATACTTCCGTAGATTCGCTTCAACCTGAGCTGTATTTCAACTAAATACACAAAAATTGCTACGAGCACTAACTGAACATTATTTGAATGAATTCGTATTATGTCATAACATGAAATTCTAAAATTTGTTTAGCCATTTCGACATAGTTTGACTCATTGGCTGCCCTTGACTAGCGAACACAGCTACAGAAACATTTAAACGACAGCGGCGAAAAAAGCACGCGAGTTTAGCGTGATTTTCGCAATTGATGTTTTGTTTTTTTTTAAAATAACCCGTGTAGTTTTTAGCGCGTATATAGTTACGTATATGACCAGCACGTGTAGCTTTGTTTTCAGACACTGAAATTTCCCATTCATATCTAGTAGAGATGTTACTCGACGGCGCTCTCTTTCACCAAATACGGTTTCCGCTATGCTCACATACTTAAGCAGTGTTGCCACAAAAAAATTACCAAATTCCTTAAAAACAAAGGAAAAATCCTCAAAATCCGAACTAATTACTCCAAGTTTTCTAATTACAGATATTTAAAAGTACTTAAATAGTATAAAAATTAAGTAAGTTCTCCAACTCAATTGGTACATTTGTTTTTGCGACTCAAACAAAGGATCGGCGTTATTTTTTATGCCTTGCTTTGTATATAATATTGCTGTAACTATATCAGTTGCCAATCTGGTCCTCGAGTCAGTCCTACACATTTTTAAACTACTAAATATATGTTCTACTGAAGCATTAGAAAAGGGCTATATTAGTAATGCAGATATATATTTTTTTTTTTTAATTGGGAAACCTATCCCAAGCTGAAGAATATTTTAATTCAAAAACTGTTTTCCTATCAATTTCTGGATCTAATTAAGAATTAATATGAATATTCTTACGGTCGAACTATGCGTGTTCTCCTCATTCGTTATCGAGATTTTGCAAATTCAAAATAAGTTGAAAATATAACGATGGAATGAAAAAAATTATCGATAACATTTTAAATATTTAGCACCAAATGCAGATGTGCTTAAAAGCGAAAAACACCACACAAGCAGCTTGACAAACCAAGCGAAATATCTCTTTGCTTAAAGCTATCTATGTTGTGCACGGGGTGTTTGAAGGATTGACAAGCTGTTTGAGGGAAATTCTAAGATCCCGAGCTGGGATTGATAGATAAAAAATTTGTGTTTACTAAAGCATTCTCAATTACCTTTCGATTGAATCCCATATTGTAAAATTTTAGTTCAATTGGTTATGTATTTAAATCATTTTCATGTGAAGAAATTTGGCAACCTGGTCACACCTTACACCAGATGCTTCCGTTTTACTCATAATAGCATAATTTAATTATATGTATATTTAAATTAACTTTTTAGATAGGTAGCAACGCTTTTCAAAAATTTGATTGGAGAAAAATATTCACACACATCTTCCGATGCAGACCTCTAATACCTACATACCATAAATACATAGGAACAAACATTTATGCAATACTAAATGCACACCCAGCAGCAAAATGAGGAGCGTTTGTAAATAAACGCCTTTCGGACGGAATTTTTCAATAAGACCTTCTCTTTTGAAGTTTTATTAGAAAATCTTCCAATAGCACCGCCATTCGAAGGCAATGGTGAAGTGAAGTGGGAAGTGAAGATGTATTTCCAAGGTAACCAAGGCAATAAATTCATACTGTTTCGTTATTATTTCATGTAAACTTTTGCCCTTCCAAGCGAAGCTGAATCAGAAAGCCTGGAAACTCTGACCATTACCACATTGCCACATTTACCACACAAGGTCTGAAATCTGCCACATATTCACGTTTTCGAGTAGTTTAATTTTTGTTCGACATAATTTTCTTTATTTTTTAATTCTAAGAGCGAACAAAAGCGAAAGAAAAACTGGCAGTACTCTTCAAAGTTGCAAAAATCTTTCATAATATTTATAGTGTTTAATAGATAAAAGGCTTTAATTTTATAAAAAAAAAATATAAACATTAAACAAACAAAGGAAAAACTGTCCGAACTTACCAAAATACTGCGACCTGGTTAATTTGTGCGGCAATAAAAGAACTACTTATTATATTTTCTGTTTCGTAATAAATAAATAAAGAAAAAAAATAAATAATAAATCAACTTAAAATTAAGATCTCCCACATTTTTTTGGAATCTACCACATTTGTTTCAGATTCCACACAGAATTGTTTATTCCGATCATTGCCTCTTATTATCTAGTTTTGTCGACCGGGTACATATGTACATATACCGAATATTTACGTTTATAAATATAAAACTATAGTTTTGTTGCTGTTTTTACTTGTTATTTGCAGATTTGTAGTAAAATCTTTGGAAATGCGTCAGCGTTGGCCAAGCACAAACTGACGCACAGCGACGAGCGGAAATACGTTTGTGCGATGTGCTCGAAGGCATTCAAACGACAAGATCACTTGTAAGTTAATTGCAGCCATTTCCAAAACTTTGATCGATGTATCTAATATTTATACACATACACCCCCATTCACTTGAATAGGCACATTTTTTTCTTCAATATCCGAGCTCATTTGCGGATTTGTGGGAAATGGAGAAGCTTTATTTAAATCTCATTTTCCAGAATAATTAATTTCGAAGAAAAGTAGTTAATAAAAAGGACATATGTACGAGTACCTTGATTCCTTTGGATTTTATTATTCTAATTTTTTATCAAACTACATGAAAAATCTACTTATTTCTTAATTCATTTGTATCTTTAACACATTGAAAGTATTCAACTCGGAACCAGCTGGTGGTAGCAGAGGAAGAGGGAGGCCCCCACTGCGATGGGAAGACCAGGTGGAGTAGGACTTGGCTTCACTTGGCATTTTTATTTTGTTTTCATCATATAATCTCAAATATCGCCAAAAACCGTGTTTTTGGCACTCTGAGGTTAGGATATCTCAAAATTCTGGCGTGATAGACCAATTCTTTCTATATTAAGGTAATGGTTTTTATGCACTTCCACTTATATCTATCTCGATTCTTTTAGGCTTTAAAAAATAACCGTTATGTAAAACAAGGCTATCTCCTTATTATTGAAAGTGTTGTAGTTAAGATCTTCGTAGTTCGGACAGGAAACCTCCTCAATTTTGAATCCTTAAAACCGAAAAGTTTTGAATTATAAATTACTATAGATTTCTCTCCCGTTGGCATTTAATACGCGATTCTATTTGTAGTTAAATACCACCCAAAATGTATCCATCACGGTTGATGAAACCAACTCCGACGCAACGTCCAGCACAGCAACTTCACCCATCGAAGCCAAGGAGGAGGAAATTAATCAACAATTTGTAGCCGCCATCAATCCGCACCTTTTAAACATCGTCAAAATGGACCAGAAGCCTGTTGAGTGCAATTTGTGCCATCGTAAATTTAAGAACATACCAGCACTTAACGGACACATGCGGCTACATGGCGGCTATTTTAAAAAAGATCCGGAAACTAAAAAGGCCGAGAAGAAAGAACATAGCGGTCCACCGCTACAAACGGCCAGTATTGGCGTGCGGGCGCTGATTGAAGAGAAAATCATAAGCAAACGCAAAGATATGAACAAGGTACGTTTAATTAATGACAGAAAATACTAAATTAGCAATTATGGTTGTACTCTTTTTTTTACTCAGGGTGCCTTCGTAGTTCCTGCACCACCCAGTAGTGTATCCAGCACATCCACAATCCGACGATCGATTAGCGATCTAGAAAGTTTCCTTAGTCCAAAATCACACAACAATAATGGTGGTGGTAATATTGCCAACAGTAGCAGTGCCAATTCTCCCAACCAGACCTCGACCACCGCCACCACCACCACCACAGCCACCATGCTACCTGCTGCATCAACAATCAAGAATTATAATGGTGGCTTGCAGCAAATCGGTATGACGCAGGGCATAGAGATTTTCAGTACAAAACAACAAAAGGCAAGCGGTAACGTTAGCCTTGGCTTGGGCGTAGGCTTTAGTGCGGCTCTGCAAACAACTAATTCAACGATGAATCCGTCAACGACCAAATCAACAGCAACGACAAATACAACGACTACAAAAGGCACTTCGACCGATCCAAAAGATTCAACGCTCATTGAGTTATTAAAGCGCGGCACCCGTATAGCCGTCACTGCCAAGAAGCCACTAAATAGTACAAACGCAATTACAAATATTGGAAGCAACAACAACGGCAGCGGCGGATCACGGCAGATAATCACAAATAATAATCGCACCGTGATTATCCCGTCCGATGTGCAGGTCCTGCCCACCCGCATAGCTAAGTCCAGTGCTAATGCGTCACGAACTTCTACTCCCGGCTCTATAGCTCTGGCCGACACGACGCCACTTTCGCTCACCATTTCCCAAAGTGGAGACAGTAGTATGGGAGGCGACGTATACACAGTTACCTATAGCAGCGATACATCTGGCTTTTTCGATGATGCCGAGGTCTACAACGTCGCTGATACGGATATGCTGCTGCAGACAGTAGATACAATGCAGTTGCTCAACGATGACTCACAACAGCTGAAAAGCGAACATTCCGAACACTTTGGCGCTGTGACCGGTGTAAGCATCGCGGGAGGCGATCAAATTGATAACGGTGGCAATTGCGCTCAGACCGAATACTTAAAGTTAGAAGTCGACGGTGTTAATGTAAATGCCATGTCCAACACTTTACCCACTTTCCAACAATTCCATTCCAAAGAGCTCATCATGCAGAATAGTGCCCAGATACAGGCTGTGACTAGTATGCGATCCAATTCGCATCAATTGGGTACGATGTCCTCACCGATAAACTCTCCACTTGCATATCCCACGCCGCCCTCTAGTCACGAAAATATGACACAATCTTCGCCATACGTAGAGGATGGACACCAGTATTCGGAAGTGGCCAACGCTTTTTTTAATGACAAATGTAGCGCAGACTTTCTCGCACAGTCAGCCACTGAAGTGACCTTCTTCAAAGGCAGTGACAATCAGCATGAGCTTACCGATACCGAGAAGATACTAAAGCTAAAGACGGTGCTAGAAGAGAGTGCCTTTGATGGATCCATTAAGGTCGAAGATTTATTAAATGGTGCGCAAGATGACGACGCCGAATGTGATTTACGCGATTTTGCTGATACAAATCTGGCCTTCTTGGATGAGGATCAAGAGTTTCTGAATGATTCGCGAAATGCAACTTCGCCACTTCCAGAATCTTTCTTTACAGGCAGCATTGGAACGGCGGACGAAGTCAAAGAAGTATTACGCGATGTGCTGCCTGACGAAAACATAAATCTCAATTGTGAAGAGCAGTCCGGCGAAAACATTATTGATCTGTACTATCTGCCCGGTTTGGGTTTGCAATCGCAGATGATGCCCAACTCAGACGATCCATTGTTGTCCTCCTCTCCAAGAGACTTTGGCCAACAAAGGGGCCAAGTTATACAGCCGACACAGCACGTGCAAGTCCAACAGCAGCAGCAGCAACAACTGCCACAACAACAACAGCAGCAGCAACAACAACATCCACATCAGCAATCGCTAACACAATCACAGTCAATGCAACAGACCACGCAGCAATTACTGTACGCGCAGCAAATAGAGCAGCAGATGCAGCAACAGCAGCAACAGCAGCAGCAGCAGCAGCAAATGTCTGCTGGTGAAAGCTACGTTGGCAATCACTATACAGTCGGCGAAGGTAACGCTTCGAATACGACGCTTCAGTACAATCTACAGAATCTACCGCAAGTACAAAACCAACAACAGTTTGTTGAAGCCAACACGCCGATCCAGCATGTGTCCACGCTCGATGGCAGCATTTTGCACCAACAACTGGTATTCACAGGCTCAACGGATAAGCAGGAAATACACATAACAGGACAACATGGCGATATCGGGCTTCTGTCAACCAACTGCACTCTCAATACCGACACTAATATTTACTTCGCCAGCAACACTAATAATTCCAGCAATTCTATGTCAGTATTGCAACAGGCCGGAAATCATGCAAACGTCAGCAATATAGCATCATCCTCATCAGCTTGTCTGCCGCCTGTGGCATCCACGGTTATTTCTACGCTACAACCCCTCTCCAACCAAACCAATTCCATACTAAAGCGACGCCTGCGACCTCATAATTCCAATGATTCCAGTAGCTCGCAAAGTTTTGCTAAATACCATCCGTTGTCGCCGTATCGCTCTAAACTGCGCAAACCTTCACGCACGCACTACACACCTGCGCCCATACTCAACCCCGATCGAAAAGGTGTCGGTCTTTATTGCAGCGTGCGAAAGCAACTCAATACAGGAATGCTCGGTTTTGATAGTTTTGACGATGATTTTGACGATCCGGTTGGATTAGTGGACTTTTCCGACGAATCCAAAGTTAATCTAGGCTCAGCTTATCAAGCGCAAATACCACCCTGCCGCGTGCGTATACAAAGTGCGAGTAGCGATGCCACAACCGACGGTGAAATGTGCAAAGACACCTCCTGCTTTGCGGTCGAGGAGCCTGTGGGTGCAGATCAATTATGGGATCCCACCGTACAAATGGACGAGAAGATATTGATGCGCTACATTGACCTGAGTAAGTCGTCAGCGGTGCCGTTGGGCAGCCACTCCGAAGAGGTTGCGCTACAAACATTGCTCACAGCACGCGGTAACCTGGCAGCAGCGGTACTAACCCTCTTGCAAACACAATCGAATGCATTCCAAATGAAGTGGACCGCTACGGAATTGGAGGTGTTCTTGAAGGGCTTGGAACGGCATGGCAAAGACTTTGGGCGCATCGCGCAAGAGGTAAGAAGCCGCCGCTGTGAGGAAAACACTTTGATAATAAATTTCAATTTACATATCATTTTGTTACATATGTACAGTTGGGTTCGAAGTCAACTGGTGAATGTGTGCAAATGTACTACTTTTGGAAAAAGCTATGCGTCGACTATAAAGTGACGCACCTGAAAACTGAAACGCCACCGCCGCCACCGGCAAATGATCCCAAGCCGTATGTGTGTGAAGTGCCTGATTGTTCGGCCGTAAGTAAAATTTCGAAATTTCATTTATAATATGATTAAATTAAACTAACAAAGCACAAATAAAAAAGAAACTTTAATTATGCCTCCTACATAGAACTGTGCAGATTTACATTTAATAAAAATCATTTGTTAAGGTTATTTTATTTAAGACACCTTCCACTTTGTACAAAGATACCAATATATAATTCAAAATCTACATTTGTAATATATTTCCCACAACTTTTCTCCTGCGAAAATGCTTTCTCTACACTCTGCGTTGTGCTGCTGATTCCGCAGAGCTTTACCTCAAAAGCTGCCCTGCATGGCCATACACGCATACATACGTACGGCAGAAACGCCAACAGCCATAATAACAACAACAATAATAACAACCATCATAATCATAACAGCAACAATGCCACAGGCAACACAACTAATACAAACGGTGCCACAATAGGCGGCTCGACAACAACCCTCGCTCAACAGAGCAACATCTCAGCATCACAATCGCAAACTCAAAATGCCAATGCGATCGGAGCGTCGGTTAAAGACGGTAGTCAAAGCGGTGCGGGCAATACCGCGATTAGCGTCAACAAGGACACCGATTTTCCCTGCAAGGTGTGCGGCAAGTAAGACTCCCCCACTCTCTCTCTCTCACACTATCTCTGTCAACTACGTAATGTCATTTCTGTATTCGTAAACGTAAACGTAACCGCTACTGTTACCGTTACTGTAAAATTATGCTACAAATGTTTCTCATACATACAATATTTGCATATACACCTACATACAAAACTGTATTTATTTTATTTTTTTATTTATTCATTGAAATATCTGTTTAACTTTGAGTAAATGGAGGTACGCGATGGCCGATAACATGTTTAGGCGCCGAAAAACATGCAGAGGCTTGGCAATCGATTGTTCTCCTCGTGGTAGATTGGTAGGCCAGACGAGTTTTGGCAGGCTTTTGTAACATTTATAAATAAAAATACTGAGTTAAAACCTACACAGTTTTTAGTATTTTCTTCTTGAAGAAGTTTTTAACTGGGTTAAAAAAGGGAGGAGGTTAACAAATCTTTGGGCCACCGGAACCAATTTCTATAATTCTGTTATTTTTTTTAAGGAAAGATTGTACTTCGAAGGTGGTCCCATACTGATTTGGTTTAGATTCGATCATTGGATCATGAAGTAATTAACGGCACTCTTAAATTTTTATATGAGAATTGAATTCGGCTTTGTTTTTTGCTTAAAAAATAACTCTTTGAAGGTTCATCGGCTCGTTTTTTATCAGCTTATTGTTTTGTTGACATTAGGTTAGAATTTGTCAGATATTTTTATGGATTTTTTAATGGCAGAACTGGCGATCAACCTGAGTGAATCTGTTAGGTTTCACCAGCATATCGTGATCTGGCATCTGGCTGTCATGCCAAATTATATAAAATGCCATTCCAAAAATCATATAAAATCTCAAAGTAGGCGTTTAGCCAGCGTTCAGAAGGGCTTTGAAACTTTGCATATTGGAGTTATGGCCCAGTGCATCCTGCACCGACTGTAAGCTAACCCGATGAGAAGTAATCTACAAGTTACCGCAAGAACTCGAATACCCTCCCTGTCCGGAGAGATAACTTGAAGGTTACCTAGCATATATGTATACAATTTTATGAAATGTCCTTGTGTCCTGGGACTCAAATTTGATATGGAAGTAATCAGAAAAGATCTCGAGAGAACTCAAACATTTCTCGACCAGTTTCAATAGTATAATGACCAAGCGTAGCGCCCTGACTGCCGCTGGACTATCCGAGTTGATATTTATTTACGCCTTTTTATCGGTAATACATTTGTGAGTTGCCAGTTGGATGTCTCTTTCTAGCAACCAATTCTGGCAGAAAAGGGCTACAGCAATTAGGCAGACTAAACATAATATTTACAGAATACACCTCCACTGACTCTGCCGTCCATCTTTCAAACTTTAACAGCTGCATTTTTTTCCCGTATAGTGAAAAAGGCTCGATCTCTTATACGAACCATTTTTACAGCAATCTGGCTTTTTTTAGGATCACACGCAGAAGCTTAAACTTTGTCAGACAGCACATATGACATCAGTAGTATGTATGAGAAAAGATGGTCAAATGGAACTCCAATTTTACAGTATTAATAGCACGTCCGAAGCTAGCAGACCAGTTCGTAGCCAATTTTAGGTGCCACTGCATAACAGCTTACATATTGTCTAAACAATTTCCTCTGTCTATGAGTGGCATGCTATCCTTTCCAGCTCCTCCAGGACGTCGTTTGCCATGGCGATCCAGAGAAAGGGTGAGAGAACGTCTGCCTGGACGATACCTCTGATCACCCTAAAATGGCCAGAGTGGAGGGATAAATCTAACCATGTTGTTCTCGACTCTGGGTTTAGTAATGGCAATAGCCATTTCTTCATTTCTTAAAATCTTCTAGAGGACGGTAAAATTATAATAAAATAGTTTTAGCAAATAATAATTACTTGGAAGAAAATTATAAGCTTCGAAATCAGCGATACAAAAGCACTACTGTACCTGTTGTATATTTTTATAAAACAAAAGTAAACAAAAGTTTGAGTATTTATGTTATCTTTAGACTTTCTTTTAATTATTAAATGAAGTTTCATTAACATCTATTCTATATCTACATACATTTCAACACATTTCAATCCTCATACAAACATATTTATATTAAACTGATTTTTTAAAAGTCATATGGGATAATAATAATTGTTGTTATTGTTGTTGTATTGTATTGTTCCATGTTTTGAAATGAAAAAAAGCGAAAAAAACTAAAAAAAAAGTACGAAATGACTGAATAATTATAATTTAAATCGAAAAATAAACAAAAATAACTCGCATCAAACAATAATGAATCAGCGATCACATCAATAAAAAAACCAATTGCAATATTCATATATACATACATATGTACATCAAATAACCCAAATATATTAACTAATCTAAAAATAAAAAATTAAAATCGAAAACTCAATAATGAAACAAAAATTGAATTACTAATTTTTACATGTATGAATCGCGCAGAATCAAAAATCACAAATTGAATTGCGAGTTGACACTCCTCCCCACCACGCTGTTGTATAACGACGCGCACGCGCAAGCGCACCCATGTTGAAAGTGCTAGCTCGCTCACTGAAGCAGCAGCCGCCACTGCAACCGGCATGTGTCTTTCAGCGCCACACTCGACCAAAACGTAAAATTGTAAGTGGTGTTCGTTTCTTTGCTAAATATAAATTTACTCTTTCATTTCCATTTGAATTTTCAATTACAATTATCGAATTATATATAATTCATTTCAAATTCCTCTTCTCTCTCTCTCTCTCTATGTCTGTATCTCTCTCACACATGCCGATAATAAATAATAATACGTATTACTCTTAATTACTCCATTTTAAAATCCGCCATTATTTATAACACTACCTCCTCCAACAAAAAAAAAAGAAAAAACACACTCGTGTAGTAACGTTGTGAACACTTGTAAAGAAATTACCCCACCCCGCCTTTTTTAGACTTACATAGTTTTAAATTATATTCACACGCCGTGCTAATCTCGCCACCAGCATTATAGATACACATTTACCCCTTAAAAAAATCATTAACTCTATTACCTAAATAAAACACCCAAACGCAACGATATGCAAATGTAAATATGCTCGTAAATCATACAAATGAACTTAAACTCACCTGCAAATATAAAAATAATTTACTAACAGAACCTTACTAACAATTATTAACAAACGCGGCCTTAAAGTCTGACTTTGACAAAAGTGTACTCAAATATTAGATTTCTTTAATGGGAACCCAAAGATTGATCCATCGCTCATTGGCCTCTGTATGGTTCCGAATATCTTGTGCACCACCAAGATAATCTTTCTTCATAAATATGTATTCGGCTTACATCTGCTTTGTATATTGTGTAAATATTAGCGATCAGCGTACCATGTGTTGGTATGTCTTCATCGAAGTGCAAAGTATCTACGCTGCTTCTACACAAGAAAAATATTGGATTTTGAGCAACAAGAATGTCTTATAATTATTACACTTATAGTTCCGAATTTCTCATTTTAGCTCGCTCGTATGCACAAGAATCACTTCTGGTCACTCCCAGATGAATGGCAATCAAAAGCTTTTCCCATTTACGTGGACTTTAGCGCAAGGGACCAGCCTTCACGGCGCGGACACTTAGACAAAGAAAACATCTGATGAAGCGGATCTTGGAGTTTTCGAGAGAAATATTTTGTAAAAGATTTACGAGCCTTTGAGTTTTGGCGTTGTCGAATACCGCAGACGACGCTGTATGTACAAGCAGTAGCCTAGCGTGCTCTCTCTTTATCTTTATGACATACGCTCTGCACATAATCCTGGACACTTTTTGCTTCTGTTTTTGTCCACTGCGCTTTTCGGAACATGGGCAGATCGGGCACTCGTTTGATTTGTTGGAGGGAAGTCAGCAATTGCTCTATCAGCATAGTTTCCGAAAGATCGCCTTCTTTGGAAAACTTGTCGATCTCCTCGTTGTCGGTTACACTCGTGTGCCTCGAAACCCTGTAAAGATGTACGTCTGTGCCATATCTCAGGCTGCTACACCGTATAAACTCCACCATACTTCTTGAACAAATCCTTTGCATGCGATTAATAATATCGCCTTTCATGCAGCCTGACTGACAAAATAACGGTTCACTTCTTTACTTGCATCGCCGCGCTCTTTATCGTAAATACTTCTGCTTGGCAAATGCTGCAGTGGTCCGACAGCTTATTACATTTATTGACATCGCCGCCCCTACGCCTTCATGCCAGCCTTCAACCTCTAAAGGGGCTTCGAAGTTCCTCCCAAAGCGCAGATATAGGATCATTTCTTCAATCCCTTCGGGTAAAGTATATGTTATAGTAGTTTGCCCGTAGGAGCAGCAGGCAAACTGCCCCAGTAGCATTGAGATTGGCGGCAATTTTTGCGCCATATAATTCGTTCAAATGTCTGCCATGGCTTTTCAATGTGACTCGGGTTTGAATTTCCATAAATTTGTCGCTATGCTACGTGAACGCCATTGCTTCTTGAGGCGCTTCGATTGTAGACTTGGCCATCGTCACAGAAAGTGGTCAATTGACTCTACTTCAACCTCAACACGACAAGTTCTGCAGAGAGTACTTGTTGTTAATCACTAAATGGTGGTAGTACGGATTTATCCGCTTCTTTAATTGGCATCTCTGAGCCGTATGTGGCCATCTCANGTGGTAGTACGGATTTATCCGCTTCTTTAATTGGCATCTCTGAGCCGTATCTGGCCATCTCAGCAGACGACTCTTTCGCTTCAATACTGCTGCTTATGTCCGGGGACTCCGCATAGAGTGACGTTGATACGGCTCACTGACGCCAACGTGTTGCGACATTTCCATACAATTCACGATTTCACTATTTTTTAGCATTATATAGCCTTGAGTGTTGAGTTAACAATTCTATTTAAATATTTAACCGGATTTACTCCTGATAAAAGCTAAGGCCAGAATGTTTCCTATCCGGTTTCCCTTTAAGACTATAAATTATGTAAATGAATCTCTGCTCATTCGTAGCAATCTTCCATTAAGCAAACCGAAACTAAAATAAAAGACTAACGAAACAATTTAATTTTTCAACTGCCAAGTGATTTTAGATTATGTTTAGTGCATGCAAAATTAATATTTAGACTTGTAATATTTTTTATCTAATACCGCCTGATTAATGTATATTACACACACATACACGCATACATAGATATGTAAACTAGTTTTGAAGAAATATTGCATCCTGCAGTTTTCCATGCTTTTATAAGGCTTGGTGCTTACGTTTTTTAGTGCTTTGCTTTGAGTTCTACACATGCATTTACGTAGTTGCCGAACAATAATCACATATACTCATTTGTATGTAAATTAGCGTTGCCGAGGAGTAGGGATATGGTATAATGTTAAGTGTATAATTGTTTGGGTGCACCGCCCAGTAATTTAAAAGTTTAGCTTGAGAAGATTTTGGGGTCATACAAATTCTCATCCTTGACAAGTCCTAAAAACAGTCAAAGTCACAATTGTTCTTAACTTTTCTATTTATGACTCGATTTTAAATTGTGTATTATCGTTGAGAAGATATTTTCGAGTATCTTTAAAAGACCCTTTCGACCTAGAGTAGCATCTAAGCCTACAAATTTCTAAAAATAAATTAGTAAACAGAAAACAGAAAACTTACAGCGACTTGAAGTTTCTAATTCAGGCGGACCAAATGTTTATGTGCATAAATAACTCATACGCCATGGCATTCTCAGTAATTGAAGCTGGTAGTAATCAAGCCGACTTGGGTTCGGTGTGGAATTTTGTTAGTTAATTTGAGTTCATTATTGCAAAACCCAAAACTTTCAAGTCGCTGTAACTTTTCTGATCATTAACTTATTCGTCGCTTGCTAAAATAGTTAATTTTATGAAGAGGGTAGTTAAGAGAAAGAGACACTTGTATTTAGTAGGCTAAGGAGCTATTCCATAATCCATAGTACTCACAAACATATGTATATCTCTTCTTGAATAAAATCGGTCTTTAGGTCCCCGATGATGAAAATTTGTATTCCCCGAAACTCCTCTCAACGGGGGGATAATTGCAAATTTCTTATTGCACCTTTTATATTTGTTAAAAAATTTGTATTTGATTTCAAAATTCAAATGTTTTACAAAACGTAGATTTTCAAAAATCAAAATGGCGGATACCTTTTTTTAAATTATAGTTAGTTATCAAACTTGGTATTCAGAGATCCTCGTTATCTTTGATTAGGAAATTGAAATTAAATTTAAAAAAATTAAAATGGGTTGAAATGATGCTAAAGGTTATGCATTGCGTTAAAAGTAAAACGCCTATTATTCGGGACGCCATATTTGATCTCCCATTTTGAATTTTTGAAAATATAACACCAATTTCAACATCAGGGACGACGAAAATTTTTGGATACCAAGCTTCATAACAATCTATACATTTTTGAATAAATCGAATTCAGTGACGACGAAAATCCCTAATTACAAAATTTCATTGAAATTTGTCAAATACATATGGAGTAAATACCAAGCTTCATAAAAATTTACACATTTTTGCAGAAATCGTCCGCCATTTTGGTTTTAGAAAATTGAATACCAATTTCGAAATCAGTGACGACGAAATTCTCTGAACACCAAGCATCATAACAATATAGACATTTTTTAAGAAATCGTCCGCCATATTGGATCCGCAATTGTGAATTTTGGAAATTTAATTTAATATTCGAGATCAGTGATGATGAAAATCCCTAAATACTAAATTCCATTAAAATCTGTCAAATACATATGTAGTTAACATTCGTCCTATATTGTCGATTCGTCCCTATGTGCATCGTGGACCCCAGCGGCACCTAAAGATTTCACAGGGCATACAAAGAACTAATTATATTTATATTTTATATCCGTTTAAAAACATTTTGGTGCAGTTAGAAATCCGCTGAAAATCCTTTAACTGTTTTTTTACATAGAAAATTTTTTGGACTTTAAGTCTTTACGACGCTTAAAGTTAAAGTTGGAGTTAAAATTACACAAAAAATATATCCGAGGCACGTAAACTTCATTTTGAGTCGATGATTACGGATCTGTAAACCATTTATCAAGAGAAGGTAATTTTTCCGAGATATTTTCATTTTAAGTTTGCATTGCGAATGAATAAAAATTCAAATCTTAATATGAAACATGTTACTCATACGCCATGTACGATTATGTACAAGTTCCGTCGCGTACGAGATGGCGTATGAGTAACATTATATCTCGCTTCCTTTTCATACTAAAAAGTATTACAAATTTTCATTTGACCATTAAAAAGTAGTTTATTTTTCCGCCGATTTTCCTCGTTAGGAGCTTAATTTTTTGGCAACAGGCTTTAACAAAAATAAGAAAAAATTACAAAAAAGTGTTAGTTTTTAATCATTTACTTGCTAAAGTTTGATTTTTATACCCGAGCGCACTTGTGCACAAGGGTATTATAACTTTGTTCACATAACGGTTGTTTGTAACAGGCAAAACGAATGGAGATAGATATAGACAAATGTATACATAAATGATCAGAATGGAAAGAGAAATCGATTANGCTTGCCACATAAAAGCAAACCGTTGAAAATTGTTGAAATCGGACTAAAATTGAGGCCGCTTTTCATATAACGGTAAATTTCAGATATGCTTGAAATTTCAATATTTCGAAATTTAAGGACGCTAATTTACTTAAAATGTATACACCCCGGCTTATCATGTAGCGGTAGCTTTCGGAAAGGTGGAAAACATATATTTAATACTTGCGCCAGGTATTTAATGTTCGGCTCCGCCCGAACTTAGACTTTCTTACTTGTTTTTTCATAAAAATGAGAATATCTTTGGAAAATTACCTGAACTGGAAAAACGTTATACAGATCTACAAGCTATGACCCAAAATAAAGGTTACATGTCTCGGCATTTTTATGTAATTTCAAAACTTTACATTTCCCCTACAAGTATGTGAGAATTATGTTTGAACTCGTTTTTTAAATACAAGCGGCCTGTAATAAAGTTGGATATATTAATAAAAGGGGGAATTCTTATGGCATTTCGCAAGTTAAAGTCTTATAAAAATTGTTTAATTGGACTTGTGTGTTATGTTAAATTTTCGCAAAATTATAGATAATTGTAAAACAAAGAAAAAACATGTCATTTGGTAGCCCACTGAAATTTTTAAGAATTACAACCCAATTATTTGTATAGTACACGCCTAGGCGCGCCTGTTTATACGAGACTCGTACGGATATGAGTTTTATAAATTTTGATTTTCACCACTTTTGTAGGTAAAAGTTTTTGCTGCGGCTAAGGTATAATTTTTGCGTCTCCCCATGTCCATAGATTGATATTTCGTAAAATTCAAATACTCCGGGTATAGATTTAGTTAATATTCAGGGACTGTTAACACTTAATTATTTGTTATTGTTGTTGTAAAGAATATATATAATTAATTTAACTGGATTGAAAGATCGAGTTCTACGGGTAAGCTAAATTATATACATATTTTAAATACAATTCCGCTGAAAGAACTTTATATTCCAAATTGATTTTCGCGGAAAATTGGTCCGGAAAAGCCGTTTTTCTGGCTCTAAAATTTTTTTTTTCGTGGAATGTGGGACGAGCTCTGAAAGTACATTTTTATTGCAGTACCAGCTCGCTGTATTAAAGTTAAAGGGCTGCCATATATTTGTAATTAAAATGTCTTCAAATTGAAGGTTAAAGGGTTGCCATATATTTGTAATTATAATGTCTTCAAATTGAATTTCAGTTATTGTTAATTAATAACGAAATTTCTCGGAAAATCTACGTGATAGAATTTTTTCATAATTTTTTTTCCTGGGTTAGTACCTACCTATACCTACCCAAATAGTTAAATAAACAATACGGTATTAATTTAAGCGGCTTGAGCGACCTCTAAATAGTCTGTTGATTTCAATATAAAAAATAGGGGGTAAGAGCATGAAAATTCCCACTTTACTTTTTCACATGGATATTTGTATCACCCTAGTGTGTATGAAAATATTAATAAAAATGATTTAGCGTTGTATACATTTCTATTGTAGATCCTTTCCAGTCAATTTTATTATTTAATCGTTAACTATAGGGTAACACTGAAGCACATTCATACATTTCACATGCTTATACCTTATTAGTGTTGTTATGTTCGCTTTTGTGCTGGCCAGGCTCCTATGCATATTCATGTTGATTTGCCACTACATATATATGAGCATAAACATACATACATATATGTAAAATACCAACAAATACCAATGCTTATAATTATGGCTTTTTTATCTTTGTATATGTATGTATATTAGTAGCTGATTTGAAATGCATGCGTGTAATTATTTAATTAAATAATACATTTTAATTTTTCTCCCTTTAATTTCAACTTTTCGCCGCGCATGCGCAGAGTTTTTAATAAAGTGAAGAGCAGAAGCGCCCATATGAAAACACATCGTGTGCAAGAACAGCAACAGCAACAACTGCAACAACAGCAACAACTGCAACAACAGCAACAACAGCAACAGCAGCAGCAGCAACAACAACAACAACAACATCAACAGCAGCAGCAATCAGTTGTGGATTTAACATCCGCTGCATCTAACGATGCAGTTGTTCTCAATGCTCACAGCCAAAATCTAACTACAAATAAAAGTCAGCAGCATCAGCAGCAGCCGCCGATTGAGCAAATATCCTGAACTTAGACACCCTTTCCCAGTAGTGACCACCACCCTGATTGATTACCTTCGAGACCACCAAAACCTAACGCAACACCCAGTTACGTACAGACCCATTTAGTCACCAAGTGACAAAAACAATGAAATTCTCCACAGATCCAAAAGTAATCACTAGGAACAAATCGTGAGATTGCAACCATGCAATACGTTGTATGTAAGTAAAATGTAAGCAAATTGTTAGTAAATGCATGTACATACATACATAAGTAAATGACAAGTAAAAATCCATTTGAAATTTGAAACTGACAATCGAAGTGTTATTGAAATGTAACCTTAAAGTTAATTACAATTAAAATTAAGTTCAACGCTTAATAATATTCAAAATTATTAAAACAGTCTGCTAATATAAATGTGAAATATACATACATACGTACATACATGCATGCATATATACATACATGCGTACATACAAAATCGTTCTGTATGCAACGAAATGCAATGTTGTTAGAAAATCTAAGGAAACCAAAAAATTGAACCAACTAAAAAATCGAAATATTCTTCTAATACAAAGGCCAATCTTCTATTGTAGTTGTTCTTGTGTGGCATAGATTGTAATTGAATTTTATTTGCGTTAGAACAGGGGATTTTAATGTACATTTACAATTTAACTAGTGTCTACAATTAAGTGAATTCGTAGTGAATGTGAATTTAGTAGTGATTAAATAACCGAAATTTATTGTAAAATACGCTGGGGATGCAAAAAAAAAACACACACAAACCTTTTAGGAAATATTTGTGGTAGCATAAAATCTGTGTTCGTATGGAAAAGTAGCTTATGTCGAAAGGCTGGATTTAGTATAAATTGGCATTCGCAGCATACGATTGCGAATGACTTTCGGGGCTAAGCCGTTAAACAACTTTTAGCAAATAAACGTGCAAGAAAAATTTCCGATATTAGCAAGTCAATATTCTTTTTAAGTCTCATCAAAAAATTCCTTGTCGTTTAAAAAATAAAGGGAATGCCGCATTATACTAAAGCCGGCCTTTCGACATAAGCTACTTTTCCATACGAACACAGAAATTATAAAATGGGCCTTGCGAGACAAGTGATTTGGTGGAGGGTTCTGCGGCAGGAAGTTACCTAACCGCTGGCAATTGAAAATATTTCCTAAACAACAAAATCAAACCGCCGATGAAAGTAAGTTAGCATTAAAATAAATAAAGATAAATATGTACATATGTACATGTAACACGAAACATCTCAAATATTTAAGTTTGTTGAGGTAACTACACATACATACATGTATGAATGAGTATATAAAAGTATTGGAAAATATGTGCGCAGAGTTCCGCCGTTCTTTAGATATTTTTGTTAATTTTTTTAATTTTTTTCAAAAAATTTAAAAAAAGGAGAATTTTTTATTTATGCTACCGGATAACTTTGGAGGAGTGCAATGGGGTATAGTAGTTGTGCTCGGTATGCAGTTACAGTTGCACGGCTATACTCAATCCCGACTGTTGCGTCCTCGTTCGCGCACTCTGGGCAACGTGAGCTACCCATATATATATGTATATAAATTTCTGTTTTAAATTTTCGTTGGTTCAGTTCCGATCATTGGAACAATGAAGACGTGCTTTTTTCTTAAAAATTACTTGTTATGAATATCTACATACCTAAAAATTTAACACTCTTAGGGCTGTTTTCTCAAGTATGTTTTTAAAATGTATCTGCCCTTCAAACACGTTTGTTTTCTTCAGGACAAAATTTATATTTAAAGGGCGGATAAATTTTAATACCTTAATACTTAAAGGGTTTGATAGGTTGGCGGTTATTGCGCTGACACGGTCCCATAGAACCGAAACCGTGTTGCTTCTTGGCAAATTTAATTTAAAAATAGTAGCTTACGTGCAAAATAGTAGTATACGTTTAAGTACAATATATTCACTTATATTTGTATATAAAACAAATTTAATAGTTCATTTCACCAAGCCTTAACAACAGTTTATGCTCATTGGAAAAATGAGATTACAGCTCGAAGGGAGTAATTGCTCATATAAGTACCAGCAAACTAAGTTAAAAAAGTAAAAAGGAAGAAATAAACCTTGCCATCATCACGCCATATTAAATTTTTTGGAACTTAACTTAGCCCCTAACTGCAGTTGAGCTGTTGGTGGAAAAGGGCTATAACTGATTAAATAAATAATTCGAAAATAATATATTTAAATAAAACTCGTAATAGTTTTATTTAAATTTTGAGATCTTTCACAGTATTTTATATCGCTAACTAACTAGCACATATTAGCTCATAAAATGTCTCTGTAGATTTTTGTCACTATGTGGTGTTAATTGCGTCAAACTGACAGTGGCTTGAAAGGCCACACTTTTAGTTCTGTAATTCTAAGCTCTGGCAAAAAGTTATACTTATTTGAAAATGAGTGAAATATCTAACGCTACGTGCTGCTCTTTTACTATGGAAAAGGTGAAAGCACTGCAAAAATATGCGCACAAATATCTTAATTGTACGATAAAAATGCCGCGAGTGAATAATGCACCTCGCTCTGGTCGGCCAGTCACTGGAAAAGTTGATGAAGTAATGCAAATGGTCGTGCAAGATCGGCATACAAACTGTCAAGAGATAGCGAAGACACTTAATATCAACATGAGAGTTGGGTATCATCTAAAAAGAGCTGTCTACTCGAAGAAGGTCAATGTTTGGGTTCCACATGAAATAAAGCAAAGATATTATTACTGAAACGCAACGATCTCAAACCGTTTTTGACTAACGATGAAAAATGGATTAAACACGAGAATAGGCAGTGCAAGAGATCAAACAAGTTTATGTTGAGTGTTTGGTGGAATTGGAAGAGAAATGTCAATTATGAACTGCTACAACGTGGCGCAACAATCAATTCGGTCCTCCACGGTGCGCAACTCGACCGTTTGAATTAAGCAAATAAGAAAAAGTGTCCAGAATTTTTTAGTGGAAATAGAGTTTTTCCATCATGACAATGCCAGCCACACATATTTTTGATGATTCCGAACAAATTCAGGAAACTTGGTTGGGAAGTTTAAATACATTGAGCCTGGGCCTTGCACCGTGTGACTTTCATTTGTAACGGTATCTGCAAAACTCTCTTGATGGTAAAGAATTGACCGACCGAAGAGCTACTAAAAATCACTTGGTTAACTTTTTTCGCCGATAAACCACAGATGTTCTACACCGACCGATAATAATATCTACTTGATTAAAAATGATTTTCTATAACGAAAGTATATTTTTTTAATTTACCCAAAAATCGGCGCAGACATTTATCCCCAATAAACTACGTAATTCTCGTCGTATATTTCTTAATATTTCATTTAAAATTCCAAATTCCTTGCAAATATATTGGAATTCCCTACTAATTGCATTCCTCCCTCCTTCGTGCAACATTTTATAAGGGAGTGTCAAAACGCGGCTAATAATAATTATTTAACTTCTTTTTAGTTGTTTGTGTTTCCGACAGGGTAGGAGTATGATGTATTGTGGAATGATTTTCCGTCATCCCTTGTCAAATTTGGTTAGGAGGCAAACCGGTTTCGGCGTTGTGCCATCTTCGTTCGAACGAAAGCGCCGAAACCTTTTATTATTGAATCATGGCTCTCTCATGGCTAAGCGTACACGGTAGAGAAATCTCTCGAGAGTTTCACTGAAATAAAAATCTCCTCTCTCAATTAAGTTTACACGGTAGAGCAACTCTAAGAGATATTCACTCTAGCTAGAGACAAAATAGAGAAATCTCAACTTTTATCTATCACGTACTCTACAAGTAGACAATAGTTACCTCTCGTCTAGAGTTAGTTTATTTGCAAAGGACGGAGGCTATTGGAAAAGCCATTGAAATACCAATGAAAATAAGAGGATGATTCCCGGTACATTATTTGGCTACAATCTAATTGCACTTAAAATTGTCATTGTCAAGATTTTACTATACGTCTCCGCAGAGCAAAAAGTCTATTTAGCTTGTTAAATAGAGCGTAGAGTTGTCGTAGAGTTTTCGATCTAGCTTCGTTGGACTGTGTACACGGCGAAAAAGTCTCGCTAATAACTCTCACATAGTCTTTGTAGGTGAGTCTCTCGTAGAGCTCTATTGAGTGTTTACACGTCTCTAGCGGGATTTTTGTCTAAATCTCGCATGTTTTCTCTACCGTGTATACTAAGCTTAATGGAGGAAGTAAATTATAAAAAAAGGAACTAAAGAATAATACCAGGTGATCCATATCCATTAATTTTAAATAAAACAGTTAAAACAGAACTGAATGTCGGAATCTTTACTATTACACACAATTACATTTCCTGACATTTACTTTTTTAAATAATTTCATTAAAGTGTCGGATTTTTTATTCAGATATTCGAATATCTGAATTATTCGTAAAATCAAAAAATCCATATCAAACATCCAGTTTAAGTCCGCTTCATAGATTAGTTGCTTATGGCAACACTGATTTTTCTTAATTCAGATAACAAAACTAAATTATGAGAAATTACAGAGACAATTTAAATAATCCTTTCTTGGCAAAAAAAACACTATGCAATTAATTCCAAATCAGGTTGCGATTGTTAGTTTTCTTGTGCACTATTTTCATCTTTGCTATAAACATTTCGCTTATTTAAATGGCGCTATACCACTTCTCCGCAATTGCATCTATTGTCGAGTATTTCACAAACAATTGAGATTTGTTCCTCAATTTCAGCGTTCCTACAGTGTAGTCGGGTAAAATAAAAAAACTTAATCTTTTTTTGTTTTAAATACTCTGTCAAACACAATCAAATTACATACATACATACAAATATAAAAACACTACTTCTTTAAATTTCTAGCATAACGAAATTTAACCAATATTGTAGATATACTTTGCCAACAATACCTAAGTACTTCCATTGCATTTTCCTACTGATTACCTTTCTACATACTTATGTATGTACATACATATGTATATTGTACAGAGACGAATAGTAATTCTTAAAAATCTGTACAACATAATGCAACATAATCGCATAAAAACGAGTCATTATTGTGTTTTTAAAAAAGCAATTCAAAATTTTAACAGAGACTCGTATAAAAAAAAAAATATATATATTAAAAAGAGACACTACCTAGTTACATACATAGGTACATACGAGTACATATGTAGTTATTGTATAATTACAAATATGATTGTTGTTATAGTTGTTTAGATTATAAATTTAAAAACAAAAAAAAAACTATTCATACGCGCATAAATATATCGTTTATACACCTGTCTTTCGAGTTCCACTAAAAATGAAGCCATTCATACATATATACATATAAACACAAAAATTCGTACATAAATATTGCATATGTTTGTTTATTTGTTCACTGGTTTAA